GCTAGCATGAGGGAAGATCCCACCCACAAACAGGACAACAGAAATCAAGACCCAGTTAAAACAGAAGAGCCCAAACTATACATACAGGGGAATTTCCTAGAGAATCCAGCTAGGGAGATAAAAGAGACTTCACCACTGGGTCTCATAGGAAACTTACTACATAAGACCACCCCATGAAGACTGGAGTCATAGAAGTCAAGAATACCAAATCTGACATCAAGAATACACTGGATGGAATTGAAGGTAAGCTGGATGAAGCAGAGGATCAAATTAGCAATTTGGAAGACAAGGTAGAAAACACCCAGTCAGAGAAACCAAAAGGAAAAAAAAATGTTTTAAATGATGATAGTTTAAGGGAACTTTGGAACATCCTGAAACATAACAATATTCATATCATAGGGTACCAGAAGGAGAAGAATTTGAGCAAGGTATAGAAAACCCGTTTGAAGAAATAATGACAGAAAACTTCCTTAACATGGGGGAAAAAAAGTCACACAAGTTCAGGAAGTACAGAGAATCCCAGTCAATATGAACCGAAAGATATCCACACCAAGACACATCAGAATTAAAATAGCAATGGTTAAAGACAAAGAGACCATCTTAAAAGCAGCGAGAGAGAAACAGATTATTACTTACAAGGGAGTTCCCAAAGGCTCTCTGCTGATTTCTCAACAGAAACATTTCAGGCCAGAGTAATTGGCATGAAGTATTCAAAGTATTGAAAAGCAGGGATCTGAAATAAAGACTACCCTATCTAGCAAAGCTATAATTTAAAATTGAATGTGAAATAAAGAATTTCCCAGACCAAAAGTAAGGAGGTTAAAGTCATTCATTACCACCAAACCAGCATTTCAAGAAATGTTAAAGGGACTATTTTGAGAAAAAGAAAGAAGAACATAGGCATAAAGAAGAAAATGGCAATAAGTAAATAAACACAAACATGGTACAACAAAAACTAAAACCCAATTACAACAGGAGATCCAAAATAATATACACAAGGGCAATTCAATAATAACCTTAAATGTAAATGGATTAAATGTTACAATAAAAAGATACAGGTAGCTTAATGGATAAGAAAACATGAACCCTATATATGTGATATACAAAAGACCAATCTTGGAACAAAAGATTTGTAAATACTGGAAGTGGAAAAAATATTCCATGCAAATAGAAACAGAAAAAAACACTGTGGTAGCAATACTCATATCTGACAAAAAGAGTTCAAAACAAAGGCCATTAAGAGACAAAGAAGGTCACTACAAAATACTAAAGGGGTAGATCCAACAAGAGGACATAACCCTTGTAAACGTATTTGCACCCAATAGAGGAGCACTAAAATATATTTTATAAAGAAGCAAACACTTGGTGCACTTTAAGGGAGAGATTGGCAGCAATGCTGTCATAATAGGGAATTTTTTTATTCCTCTCCCAAGGATATTTTTCCATTGATTTCTAGAGAGAGTGGAAGAAAGAGGAAAAGAAAGAGAAAAACATCAATGAGAAAAACACATCAATTGGTTGCCTCCTGCATGCACCCTGACCAGAGCCAGGCTAGGGAGGAGCCAGCAACCTTGGGATGTGCCCTTGACTGGAATTGAACCTGGGACCTTTCAGCACACACATTGATGCTCTATCAACTGAGCCAAACTGGATAGGGCCAGAGTAGGGGGTTTTAACATCACATTATCATACTGGATAAATCTTCCAAACAAAAGAAAATCAATAAGAAAACAGTGATCTTAAATGACACACTGGATTAGATGTATTTAATTGTTATTTACAGAACATTTTATCTAAAGGCAGCAGAATATACATTCTTCTCAAGTGCACATGGAACATTTTAAAGATAAACCATATGTTAAGATGCAAAATAAGTCATAACAAATTCAGGAAGACTTAAATCATAAAAAGTATCTTCACAGATCAAGAAGGCATGAAACTAGAAATCAATTAAAATAAAAAACTCAGAAACACTCAAACATATGGAAACTAAAGAGCATGTTTTTAAATAGTGGATGGGTTACCAAGGATATAAAGGAACAAACAAAAATTAACTGGAGTACTGTATGGTGTTGCTTAGTGGTAGAGCATCAGTCCATGCACCAAAGGATTGTGGGCTTAATTCCAGATCAGTTTTCATTACCTGGCCTCATGCAGGAGGTAACCACTCGATGTGTGTCTCTTTCTCCCCCTGCCTCCCTTTTACTCCCTCTAAAAATCAATGAAAAAAAATATCTTCAGGTGAAGATTAATAGCAACAATAAATTACTGGGAAACAAACAAAAATGACCACAAAACAATTTAAAATCTATGGGATACAGCAAAAGTAGCCCTGAAAGGGAAGTTCATAGCACTACAGGCCTTCCTCAAGATGCAAGAAAAATCTCAAATAAACAATCTAACACTACAACTAAAAGAACTAGAAAGTGAACAACAAGAAAAGCCCAGAGTAAGAAGGAAGGAAATAATAAAGGTCAGAGTAGAAATAAATGACATAGCATCTAAAAAGGCAATACAAAAGATCAATGAAACCAAGAGTTGGTTCTTTGAAAAAATAAAGACAATTGATGAACCTTTAGCTAGCCTCACAAAAAACAAAGAGAGGAGAACCATATAAAATAAAAAAAGAATGAAAGAAGAGAAATAACAACTGACATCACAGAAACACAAAGGTTTATTAGAAAATACTATGCACAACTCTATCCCAACAAATTGGACAACCTGGGTGAAATGCATGAATTCCTAAGTACATACAACCTTTCAAAACTGAATCAGCAAGAATCAGAAAACCTGAATAGATTGATAACACCTAATTAAATTAAAGCAGTAATCAAAAAACAGCCAACAAACAAAAGTCCTGGAGCAGATGGCTTCACAGCGAATTTTACCAAATTTCAAATAACTAACACTGATCCTTCTCAAACTATTCCACAAAATCGAGAAGAAGGAAGACTTTCGAACTCTTTTACTAGGCCACCATTATCCTAATCCAAAAAACAAATAAAGACACCACAAAGAAAGAAAGTCATAAGCCAATATCCTTGATGAATATAGATGCTAAAATCCTCACCTCAGTAAAATATTAGCAAACTGGATCCAGCAATACATGATCAAGTGAGATTTATTCTTTCTGGGGATGCAAAGCTGGGACAATATCTGAAAATCAATAAATGTGATACATCACATAAACAAAATGAAAGATAAAAATCACATGATCATACCAATAGATGCAGAAAAAGCTTTTGATAAAATCCAGCACCCATTTATAATAAAAACTCTCAGCAAAGTGGGAATAGAGGCATCATATCTCAAAATAATAAAGGCCTTATATGAAAAATCTGTAGCGAATATAAAGCTCAATGGTCAAATTTGAAAGTATTCTCTTTAAGATCAGGAACAAGACAGGAATGTCTGCATTTACCACTTTTATTTAACATAGTGCTGGAAGTCCTAACCACAGCAATTAGACAAGAAGAAGAAATAAAAGGCATTCAAATTGGAAAGGAGGAATTAAAACTGTCATTATTCTAGGATGACATGATACATATGTACATAGAAAACCCTATAAAGAATCCACCTAAAACTACTAGATCTAATAAATGAACTTGGCAAAGCAGCAAGATACAAATTGATGCCACTTAGAAATCAGTGGCATTTTTATACACCAACTAATGGCCTGGTGTATGAATTCGTACACAGGTGGGGTCTGGTTGGCCTGCCCCAATGGGGACCCATTGGGGGTGGGGCCAGCCAGGGGGAGGGTCCATGGGTGGTTGGCCAAATGGCCCCGCCCCTGATCAGGGGAAGGGGCTGTGGGAGGGCTCCAGTGTGTGTCCAGCCCTTCTCGCTCAGTCCCGATTGGGCAGACCCCAGCAGCAAGCTAACCTACTGGCTGGAGAGTCTGCCCCCTGGTGGTCAGTGCATTTCATAGAAAACAGTTGAGCAGCCTTAGATATCATTAGCATATTACACTTTGATTGGTTGAACGTATGATCTGACAACCAGACCCTTAGCATATTAGGCTTTTATTATATAGGATAACAAACTGTCAAAAAGAGATACCAATAAAACAATCCTATCTATTATCACAACAAAAAATAAGGTTCCTAGGAATAAACTTAAACAAGGAGGTAAAAGACTTGTACTCTGAAAACTATAGGACATTGAAGAAAGAAATAGAGGAAGATGCAAACAAGTGGAAGCATGTACCATGTTCATGGATTAGAAGAATTAACATTATTCAAATGTTCGTATTACCCAAAGCAATCTATAGATTCAACACAATTCCTATTAAAACACCAATGACATATTTCACAAATCTAGAAAATATATCCCAAAAATTTATATGGAAACAAACAAACAAAAGACTCTGAATAGCCTCAACTTTTATGAGAAAGAAAAAAAAAAGTTGGAGGGATCACAATACCTCAAACTATACCACAAAGCCATTGTAATCAAAATAGCCTAGTATTGGTACAAGAACAGGCATACAGATCAATTGAACAGAACAGAGAGCCCAGAAATCAACGCATGCATTTATGGTCACTTAATGTTTGACAAAGGAGACAAGAGCATATAATGAAGTAAATACATTTTCTTCAATAAATGGTATTGTGAAAATTGGAGAGGTACATGCAAAAAATGCAACTAGACCACCAACTTACACCATACACAGAATAAACTCAAGATGGATAAAAGATTTAAATATAAGTCATGAAATTACAAAAATAATAGAAGAAAATATAAGCAGTAATATCTCAGACATATCTTGAGGCAATAGTTTTGCTGATATGTCTCTGAGGGCAAAGGAAACACAGGAAAAATAAACAGATAAGACTATATCAAACTAAAAGGCTTCTGCACAGCAAAAGAAACCATCAACAAAATGAAAAGGGAACCCAAAGTATGGGAGAAAATATTCACCAATGATTCATCTGATAAGGGGTTAATCTCCAAAATATATGGATAACTAGTATGACTAAAAACCAGAAAGACAAACAATCCAATTAAAAAATGGGCTCATGCAATGGCTGCAAACAGCAGCATCCTTGGTAGTGTACGCAACCTGTTGCTAGTATGGGTTGCCTTAAGGGACCTTGGATACAGCCAAAAAAAAAAAAAATCAGCACAGAATATGAATAGATATTTCTCCAAAGAGAACATACAGATGGCCAATAGACATTTGAAAAATGCTCAATGTCACTAATCATCAGGGAAATACAAATTAAAACCACAATGAGGTATCACTTTGTACCTGCCAGAAAGGCTACCATCAATAAATTAACCAACAACAAATACTGGCCAGGATGTGGAGATGCAGACTGATGCAGCCACTGTGGAAAACAGTATGGAGTTTCCTCAGAAAATTAAAAATGGAACTGACTTTAACTCAGCCATCCCACATCTAGGAATATATTCTAAGAATCCCAAAACACCAATCAGCAAAAATATATGCATTCCTACATTCATAGCAGTTTTATTTACAATAGCCAAGATCTGAAAACAGCCCAAGTGTCCATCAGTAGATGAGTGGATAAAAAATTGTGATACAATCGCACAAGGGAATTCTACACAGCTGTAAAAAAGAAAGAACTCTGGCCTGACTAGTGTGGCTCAGTGGTTGAGCATCGACGTATGAAACAGGTGGTCCAAACAGGTGGTTTAATTCCCCGGCAGGGCACATGCCTGGGTTGCCACCTCAATCCCCAGTAGGGAGCAAGCAGGAGGCAGCCAATCAATAATTCTCTCTCATCATTGATGTTTCTCTCTCTTCCTCTCCCTTACTCTCTGAACTCAATAAAAATATATTTTTAGCCCTAACTGGTTTGGCTCAGTGGATAGAGCGTCGGCCTGTGGACTGAATGGTCCCAGGTTTGATTCTGGTCAAGGGCATGTACCTTGGTTGCGGGCACATCCCCAGTAGAGGGTGTGCAGGAGGCAGCTGATCGATGTTTCTCTCTCATCGATGTTTCTAACTCTCTATCCCTCTCCCTTCCTCTCTGTAAAAAATCAATAAAATATATTTAAAAATATATGTATATTTTTAAAAAAGAAGGAACTTTGACCCTCTATGACAGCATGGATGGACCTGGAGATTATGCTACATGAAATAAGCAAGTCAGTGAAATACAAATACCATATGATGTTACTAATATAAGGAATGAAATGAACAAAACAAACTGACAGACAAAATAGAACCAGAGGCATGGATTCATGGAACAGTCTAACAAATGTCAGTGGGGAGTGGGTGGAGGGACTGGAGAAAAGAAGGGATTATCTAAACACATATGCATAGCCCATCGACACAGACAATACTGTGGTGTGGGCCAAGGTAGATGGGAGCAGGTGCTGGGTATATGTAGGAAAAAGGGAGGGAAATGGGCGACATCTGCAATAGTGTCAACAACATAAAGTTTTTTAAAAGTGTAAAAAATCTATATTATAAAAACACAGTGGTCCTGATGCCATAATGATCAAAGACTGCTGCGGGTAGGTGGGTCCACACAATTTCGAGCACTGGGCTTCTAGTATATAAAGAAGATCAAACATTAAAACAAAAATTCCGGCATAACAATGGGTCAACTGTCCACAGGATCACATTTTGTTTTAGCATTATGTTTGGGTCAATGCCAGGAGAATTTGAGATTATCCCAAAGGCTTTATGTTCAGAAAGTCTTTGGGGGTGCAGTCTAATGTTTTCTATAAACAATGTGGAGATAGAAGCTCAAATGAATTCAGGGATTAGTCCAAAGCCTTCAGGTTTCTGAGAATTATATCAGCCCAGCACACAACACCAACCAAGATTTTAAAATGGTGAACATTTTAAAACAGGTTTTATTCTGAGGTCATATGGCAAAGAAAAAGACAACTATACAAAGAATAAATTGAAAACTCCATACAAGCATAACAATGGCTCATAAATTTCATATTCTGGACATTGAGGTGAGTAGCCACTCAGGGGCCCATAAATAGAGGCAGATGTCTCTTTTGCAACCTATTAATTACAAAGAACATTTATTATGTAAGTAAATATTTTATCTTATCAGTTAAAAAAGGCTTCCATACAGTGAAAAATTAATCATGTCTGACCAATCATGTTTAACTGGCATATAACTGATAAATTAATACTGAACAAAGTACCAAGTTACTATTTACTTTGTCTTTTAGAGAATAGAAGCTAAAAGTAGAAATTGTAAAAGCTGTTTCACCTACTCTGTCTCTATTAAGTATTAAAAAAATTAAACAGATAAAGAATTACATACACTATCTCTTTTTGGAAAAATTGAGCCTGGTCCTGGACTACCCAGATGAGTGATGTTTCAGTCTCTCTACTTTTTTTAAAATTCTCATTTAAGGATATGTTTTTGTTGATTTTAGGGAGAGAGAGAGAGAGAGAGAGAGAGAGAGAGAGAGAGAGAGAGAGAGACTGATATGAGAGAGAAACATCCATTGATTACTTCCCATATGTGCTCCAACTGGAGATGGAACCTCCAACCTATGCATGTGCCATGACCAGGAATTGAATCCCCAACCTTTGGTGTATGGGATAACACTTCAACCACCTGAACCACATGGCCAGGGCACTATTTTTTTTCTCTTATGCCATGTTCTATTAGCTAAGTGCAGCAAGAAAAAATAATTCTAATTTGATTATGACAGAAGTTATTATCAGTAAACTCCCAGTCACTGGATGTGTCTAAATAGGATGAGGATGATAATGATTGGCAATTTTCTTTAGAGGGATTGAAATATCAAAAGGTTGATTCGATTTTATGACCTACAGTGCCATTCCCAATAATGAGAGGTTTTTTTTATTATTTTTTAAATCATAAATGTTCTTGACATTCTAACCGTGTTTCATTTATTTATTACAAAATAACAAACACTCCAAAACTTATTACAGAAAAAAACAATTTTATTATGCTCAGTTCTCTGGTCAGAATTCAGATATGGCATGGTGGGCATGGTTTGCATTCTCTTTCCATGATTTTTGAGATCTCCATAAAATAGAAACAATACAAATAACATTCTCTACCTACAATTCAATGAAATAAAAATTAAAACAAAAGAAAAGAAACAAAATGCCCAAAATACAAAATGTCTGTTCCACTTGGAATTAAAACAAACAACCCAAAATACCTCTCCATGAGGTTTCTTGGATAAAAAGTAATAATAATAATAATATGTAAAAACACTGAAATCACAAAATTTCTAAAACTTATATATAGTGAAAATACTACATATTACAATCTATGATATAATTAAAGTAGTTATTTAAAGAATATTTACAATTTTACCTAACTATATCTATAACAATGATATACCATCTCACTCAACTTGGGGAAAACAACAAAAATTAAGCAAAAGAAAAAGCACAGAAGAAAAATTATAAGATAAAACTGGAAATTTATGAAGTTGAATAAGTTAAAATGTTGCAGATAAGCTGCCAGGCAGTGTGGGAGAACAAGCAGCCAGGCACTAGAGCAGTGGTCTCAACCTGTGGGTCGCGACCCCTTTGGGGGTCGAACGACCCTTTCACAGGGGTCGCCTAAGACCACTGGAAAACACATATATAATTACATATTGTTTTGTGATTAATCACTATGCTCTAATTGTGTTCAATTTGTAACAATGAAATTGGGGGTCACCACAACATGAGGAACTGTATTAGGGTCACGGCATCAGGAAGGTTGAGAACCACTGCACTAGAGGATTCAGAAAAGGACACCTGTATTGCAGAAGCACTAGTGTGGTGACTCAGGGGAGTCAGTCTCCAAAGCCTGAGTGTTGAATGTGGGGGGAGCTTTCCTTTTTATCCCCTTAGTTTCTTTGTCTCCCAAATATGGACCAGGCTTCCGGGCTTTTCAAGGGCTTTGCAGCTCCCTGTGAGTTGGAATGGGGGAAGTGAGATTACACCTAAAGGCCTGGCCTGGCTGGCACCAGCACTGCCAACCCGCTCTGGGGGTTGTGTATGGTTCATGGCTTATGGCCTCTGTAAAGTGAAAATATTCCGGGAAACAGGTTCTGCAAGGCAGGACAAGCATTAATGATAAGAATGGGGCTTAATTATACTAGCAAGAATGTGCATCAGAATACTGGATACTGGCACAGATTCAGATTGCTAGCCCCCCAGTTGTCTTATAGTTCCCCTCATTCCCCCCTCTTGTTCCTTAAGCTAGCCTTAGCCGTGGGGATGCTAGAAAACTCAGGAACTGGGGATAGGGTTGCTGACCACTCTAGCTGCTTGCTGCTGAGGAGGGACATCATTATGGGGGTTCAGCAGCTTGAGTCTTCTTCATCTTCCCTGAGAGGGTTGTAATGGTAATTTGGTTTCCTGGCTTGTACCACCATCTGGAGCTTGAAAGCTTCTAAGTGACAGGAAATAAAGTGGGTGAGAAAGTTAAGAATGCAGGGGCCAAATAAGTGTGTAGTAATATTATCAGGAGGAGCCCTGATAGGGGCAAAAGCCATGATAGCCAATGGAGCTTTCCAAACCATGAGTCCAAGAATTCGATTTTCCAAGAGTTTTTTGACCCATTCTCTTAGTTGTTGGGCTATGTCCCTTACTACCCCTGAACATATGTAAGCAGTGGTATAGAAACAGCATTCCTCATTTAAGAATAAACAGAGTCCACCTTTCTCAGCCATAAGTCTAATCCTCTACGGTTCTGTAATACTGTGGTTGCTAAGGAATCTATCTGATCCTGAAGTTATATTAGAGATTGGGTAACCTGCTCTATATTATCTGCTAGACTTTTGGAGAGGGTTTGGTAGTAAGAGGTGGAGGTTGCTATTCCTCCAACTCCTGAACCTACTCCTGCTGCAACCCCCAACCCAAGTAGAAGAGGTATAATCTGAATAGCCCTCTTGAAGTGAGAGTAGGCTGTTAAGGGCACTTCTAGGGATTGATTACCAGGGATAATATTAATCTGAGGTATTAAAAAGGCAAAGATACAACTCCCTGTCCAACCGCCAGGGATGCACAACTAAGCAATTGTTCCACAGATGAAAAAGATTCCAGGTGCTGGTTGACACCAGGCTGAGTTCCATTCTTGATATCTACCTCTATCGACTGTGGCAGGGCATAGGTGCTTGGGAACATGCCCCA